ATATGGCCATGGGACGCTACATGCTAGGCCTGGTGGTTTTTGTTTTCCAAAACCTTTGCGCAAACTTTTCTCCCACTGTCCTATCTTTTTGTTAATCTTCTATTTGCCCATATTTGATCATATTTGCCCCTGGCAGACTTGGAGAAGATGATGTTTCAGTCTTTCCCTATGAATCACTTAAATGTACGTCACCTCACAAAGCGTGAGCCTTGGCTTGAATCAGCATCAAAATTTTCACAATTTCCATTCAAAGGGGTATATCATGGGAATATTGATTCTATAATATGTATAATAATTTATAATATGATATTAATATGATATTATAAAATATTATAAATATAAGACATATCATGGGGTTATCATCTTGTTTTGGGCCAAGTGGCATGTGACCAAGGAGCTTGAAGACTTGGGTGGGAATGCGATGAACTTGCGTGCCTGTACATGTGCATGGTTGGCAGGGTTCTCTGCATGTGACCTTGCTGCATGGAACTGGCACAGTGTCACCAAAGAGGACCGACTGCCTCTCCAAAATACAAAGTTTTTGGATTTGTGAGGACCGGCTCCCTCTCCAAAGGACGAAAGGTTTGGATTTGTGCAAAAGGAAAAACATGTTTCCAAGATTTCTGTCTAGCAGCTCTAGCATGCAGACTTAGCAAGTGGGACAAGTCATCAAGCAGTTGCCATTTATGGCCCACTTTGGCAATTTCAAAAGATATTTGGGGATATGTCAGTTTGAGATTTTACAACATCTTCAAGATATGATGAACATAACTCATTGGAATCTAATAGCATTGAATGCTTTCTTGAAACAGCTTGTTTGAGACGTTTTGAGACACATGGCACTGCAGCGGTACAGCGCCTCGTCATCTGAGTATGACAGCAGCAGCTCTGGCAGTGCTTCATCATCTGAAGATGCTGTGGAGCCACCTGCCAAGAAGGTGAGGCCATTGGTGGAATCCATCTGCAATTTGTCTTGGAATCAGCTGCAGTCTTTGGAGCTGGAAACTGAAAGTGTCTAGTCATACCCAGATTTGGTGTTTATTTGTCATGTGGCTGAACCCCACAAAAATTGGATCTATTTTTTGGGGACAAGAATTTCTCAACATGGTTAGTGCTCGAAATGTCCTTTTAAGCTAAACCCTTGAAGCAATTTTGGGAATCATCATTTTTGAGAAATACCTGGTATAAATTGTTTTGCTAAAGCCTTCAAAGCTCAGCGAAGGTGGTGGCACCAGTTATCAACAGAATGGGAAATCACTGGAACGTGTTGAGATGGCATTGAAGAGGCCATGCTGCAAATCGAGGTGCAAACGCAATCTCACTTTGAAAACAGTTATGACCTTGGTGGTCACATTCTGGTCATTGAGCAAGAATTCACAGGATTCCCTGTCCCTTGCCATATCTTGGAAAGCAGCAGTTTCTAAACCTCTCTACTTTCTTTCTTTCTTTCTGCAATCCCTGTGGCTTAGGTTGTGGAGCTTGCAGAACTCTTCCCTGATGATGGATGAGGGAGAACCCGAGGATGATGGATCAGAGTCCCCATCATCATCATCATCATCATCGTCATCAAACAGTTCATCAAGCAGTTGTCGTGGGAAAACTTCTTGGTTTATCCAAGGTGGCCCGTTTTTTATCCAAAGGAAAAACTGCACATTGAAATTTGCTATTTATTTGCCCACATCATTCCCTGGCCTCAGGTATTCAGGTATGCAGACAGGCTTGGCTCCAAATCCTGGGCATTGGCAAGGAGCGAATTCTGAGATGCAAACGGAATTTCAAGGGAACAGATGGCCGAAGTCTTGGAAGCTTGGCCCCCTTTTCACAATATGTGTTTTAGTTATTGCATATGCCCTTGAATGTGAGTATATAGTGGGTCCCTAGGTTCTAAAGGGTGATATGTGCTATTTTTCAGAATCCCAAATTCATGGGATTATCCCCAAACTATGTTTTCTATTTTTTAACACATGGGAACCTAGGACATCACTCACATAGTGCCCCAGCAGCTGCATCTGTGCTGTCATCCTTGCGGAAGACCTATTGGGGCATAGCAGAGACTTTACCCCATGAGCCATGGCCCCAGAAGTGCCTTGTGACACTGACTTGTTGTATTGGCAGTATTTAGTGATTCTTTTTTATTGACATTAGCTCCATATTGAGGATGCACTTCAACCCCAAAGAGCAGTGGGCATCTACAGAAGAAGGTCGCAAACGATTGCTTGACTGTCTGATGACGAATTCTTTCGAAATGGACATGGGTATTGGGGATCATGATCCTTCAGCTCTGCCAAGACGGTTTCTTCCACCAGGTACCTATTCAGACCTGTACCGTCTTTACCAAGCTGAATGTTTTGCACAGCAACAATCTATAGCTTCAGCTTCAACATTCTTTCGTACCCTCAGAACATCAGGTTGGCGCCGAAAAATTAAATTCAGGGCTGAGTCAACACATGCTCAGTGTGCAGTTTGCCACAAGCTCAAGAGTGCCATTCGCAATGCCAAGGGCATCAATGACCATGCAGCTGCCTGTGATTGCTACATGAGGCATCTGGGGGGAGTTTTCAGTGACCGGCAGGTCTATTCCCAAATGAAAACTAGAGCCAAGCAGCAACGTGACATCCTTGCATGCATCATGCATGGCCACTCTGTGATGGTGTATGTATGTGATGCAGAGCAATCTACAGGAAGTGACTGGAGCCTTGAAGTCTTGAACCTAAGCCTGGATAAGACATTTGCTAAATGCCAACGCAACAATGAACCCTGGCCAAATCACCTTCGTGTCTTTACAGACAACGCGCCAAAGGATTCTTGATTTTGATTGTTTGGCAAAACTGTCCAACATCATTTGCCCTGTAAACTTTATGAAGTTTGGTTGTGAGCCCTGTTAGAAGATGTTAGAAGTAATGATATCTAAGTGTACCCAAACATATAGTATGGATTGATATGAAACGTGTTTCAGTTTATGTAGAACTCAACCTCAGGAATATCGCAATGCCCACCTTGGCAGATACTGCTGCCATATGGTGTGCAGCCGCCACTTTGCCTCGATGGGCCATGAGCACATGGCAGTTGGACACACGCATCAAGACGTGGGTGCTTGACTCAGTCCACACCAGTTTTTTAGGGTTAGCTCTGTTTGTCAGCCAGTGCCACTGTACTTAGATGCATTCTTCGGAATGGTGTCGAAGCTGATACGTCAAGCTGATGAATCCATGCAGCCTAACTCAATTTATGGTCTTTGCAGAGGCACCATCTGTGGTTTCAAACATATGTACCCCAGTGCATCAATGGCACCATCCTAGGCAAACACCTGATGACATCGTTTCGCATTTTCCTTAGTTGAGCCAAGTGTCAGCCATCACCAAAGCATTGCTTCTGCAAGCCAGTTGCATTCAGTTGCATTGCTCCTCAATGCCTGTGGCTCAGGTGGTTGAAACAACGGCTACATTCTGGTTTTGCACGTGCTGGCATTGAGTTCCATGCAGAGTACATCACAAGCATTCGCAATTGGACGGATTCTTTGGCAAAGTACTCAACTCTGTCAGGGGCATACCGGAAACGGAAGCTGAATCATGACTTGAAGGAGATTCCCCATAGCTTTGTGTTTGCAAGAAGGGATTGTGCCCTGGCTCAATCAATTTTCTAGAATTAATTTATGTCTTTCAAAAAATAACATTACCAAGTTTTAATATTATTTTGGTCATTAACTGGTGGTTGGGCTGGTGAAGTTGGAGGGGTACCTGATAGCAACAACTAGGGGAACCCAACTCAAATCACCAGGTAACCACTGGTTGCCCATCAGCATGAGGTTTGCCACAGCACCTACTGGCAGATGTTGGGAATCGAATTCCTCCACGGTTTGTCGGGGATAGTCCCAATGATGTCTTCCTCATGGTCAAGGGCTTTATCTCAGATGTCACCCTTTCCCAGCAGATTTTGGCAGTATGGCCTGGAAACGCAATCGATGAGACCACGAATGCTCTGCGTCGCTGTGCCTCAAATCAAGTCCCAGGCCATTGATGACAAATGACCAAAGTGTTTGCCCCCAAAATTAGATATGTTTGAAACTGGCAGGTGTGGCAGCCTATCTTGATGATGATCGAAAAGAGGTGCTAAGTGATCTGGCAGACTATCTTGAATCCAACTACCACCAATATAGCCGTGGCATTGATTATCTTCGAATGCTGGCTGGCCAAATTGCTAGGGCTCGTGTGCCCCCACGAAGGATTGAATTCCTTCTTTTGAATATTGCTAGGATTCAGAGAGGTGCTGTGATTCTGGGAAACCCAGACATTCACACCCTCCATACCATGAGGGTAACCTTTCATCGCTACCACTAGCTTGGCATGTATGAGGTGAAAATATAGTTCAGATTTCAGCAAACAAACGTTGTGTTTTGTGTGGGCCCACATTGTCTATTTGAGGGCATGTCATGAGCATGGCACTACACCATTGCACACAGGCTGCTTTCAAGCCACTCGAAAGTAGTTGGTAGCGCTCGCTTTTGCATGAGCATACTGAAGCCAGAGCCTCGCAACATGGAGTCTGGCAACACTGGTGGAGATCCAAGACTGGTGCCTCAATGCAATTATATACATGAATTGAAATCAGTGCATCAATTTTGATGAAATTGATTGAATCATTTTTAAGTGTTCGTATGACCCCTACCTGTCAGGCAATTGAACCTGGTCAAGACCCACCGTCCATCAAGGAGACTTTGATTTCAAGAATGGAGGAGGCTTGATCCAAACAAGTCACATCTTGAAGCTGCTACTGATGCCTTTAATTTTTTTAAGCATGGAATTTACACATGAAACAATCTTGTGCCCTGCAGATCACTTTAGATTCCAACATGGGAGCTTGGCTTTGGCTTCAATATGGACGTGACGAAGCTGGGCCAGATCGTTTCATGGATGTTCCTAGGCTGGCATTTGGGCCAATCAAACAAATTCCCATAGCTGCCCAGCTCCCTTTATCCCATTTTACCATCTTGCCTGAAGGCAATGCAGAAGATCTTTGATATGGAATGCGTTGCCAAGCACATCCCAATCCAGTCGCCTGCCATGAACGTGCCCATGACCAGCTCCAATGGGTTAATTCTGGATTTGTGGATGCTGAGTTTTGCAGAGAGTGCCAAGTATGGCTTGATGGGCCGATGGCCAGCCAATCACCAAGTCCGTGCTCACTTTCCCTCGTTTCTGAACCGGGGGTATGAGGCACACCGTGGAAGCCTAGAGATCAAGTTTGACATGACAACTGTGGAGGCTGACAGGTCAGTGTATACTATCAAACCGTTCACAGTTGGCTACGTGGATGGCCAGACCAAAGCCATCATCATGCTTGGCATCCTTGCTTTGCTGATTGACTTGGATCCTTGGAACCTGTTTCAATTTTTTACATTCCATATCCTAACCCCATCAAAATCAAAGAATATCAAAGAATCATTGACTGATATTGAAAAAGATTTGCCCATCCTGCAGCTAAGGGCATCACAGAGGATGCTTTGTCTGAAGATGAAGGTATGGCAAAAACAATTGCCACTTTCCGCTACATCAAGTGCAACTTCACAAAGCATGCCAAGGCTGAGGACTTCCTGTATGAAACACTTTGCCAGGCCCTTGGTTTTCTTTATCCATTGAACTGCAGCCAAATTTTGTTTTTTCCAAATCCCCTGAGCCCAGGCCTGGCCAATCGCACTGCCGAGAAGACAAAGCCCTCTGCCTTGGATATGATGCTGCTTTTCAAGGAGACAGTGAGGATCAAGCAATCTGCCCCACAGGCTCGCAAGAGTGCCCTTCGTGATGTCCTATATGGGTGCATAGCTGACTACAACAAGACTGTTGGAAACCATCGCGAGCCTTGTCTCTAATATATGCATGCCTAAAAGAAAATTCAGTTCAATTTTGAATCATCAATGTCTTATTCCAAAATTTCAACTAAGGGCTGGAGGGTGACTGACTCCATGCGACGGTTGATCTACAACTTGCTTCGATGTCCCAGTGGGCTTTGGGAAGCTTTGAAAATCTGCTACAGTGAATCGAAGCCTGAGCATGCAGGCCCCATGTCTTATTGCAATGTTGTTGCCCCCAACAACTTTCTTGTGTATATTAAAGATCAAATCTAACAAACTTGAAAGGACTTAGGACCACTAGTGGCCTTAAGGAGCCTTAAGGCCACCAGAAGAAAATCAAGAGTCAATGAGATGTCATGTTGTTAACTTAGAGTTCAGTGTCCTCCGTTTGCCCTGCAGCCATGACTATGGAGAACATGGAGGGTGACTACTTTGTCCCTGGGACCGAGCTTTTGGAGAATGTGCCAAAGATTTGGAAGGATATCCAGGCAGGGTTTTTAACGTGCCCCCTCAAAGATGAACAAACAAATTTCATCTGACCCAGTGGGCATTTAACTTTTAAACTGTTTTGTCCATCGTTACTGAGTAATTATAGTAATAATATCCTTTCAAAATTTTGGAGCCCTAAAACATGAATGATCCCAGAGTCCAAGTCTTTCAAACATGAAATTGACAAACGACAACCTTTTTATGCCCTGCCTTTGCTGCCAGACAGTGACTGATGATGCCATTGAGTTGTGGGCAGATCGGGCACTGTCAGATTTCAACCGGAAGGTGGGCAAGAACGCTCCCAGCAAACAGAAGGCAGGGGGTTCCTAAAAAACATGTGTATCAGATTTATATTATTACCAATGTTCATCTTTTGCTACCTTGTCAGAAGATGGCTCAGCGGGACCAAGCTGGCATGGTTGAGCTACTCCAGAACTGCTGCCTCATGAACCATGTTTGGCCCCTCCTTCAAGGGTATCTTGGTCAAGGCACAGAGCTGAATAGCATCATGGCGCAGTGGAAGCTTGGGAACCTTGGCTGCACAGGATTTGCTAAAACCAGCCAAAGACTGTATTTTTGGCAAGACAGATTTTAGCAGTGAACGTGATGTGGAATCTGAATTCCACATCACAAACTAGCATCTATGGGGAATGTCGAGATTTTTGGGATTTTGAAATTTGGGCTTCCCAATTTTGACTTATTCAAAAACCTAGGATTTGTGATGTGGAATTCAGATTCCGAATCACTTTCTGGTCTTAAAATCAACCAGGTGAAATTACACTGAAAACATTTTGTGGGGAGTTGCCACAAATACACTTGGGGTTGCACTTGGGGCCTAGGGAGTGATGTGGTTTCTGAAAAGCGCATCACTCACCAGGCTTTGTGAAAGCAAACCACGTCACCAACCGTATTTTGGGAAACCAAACCACGTCACTCACAGTATTTTGGGGATTCAAACCGCAACACTTGGATTGTTTTGGGGTGCAAACCACGTCACTCACAGTACTTTGGGGATGCAAACCACGTCACTGGCAATATTTGAGGAAACCACGTCATTGGCAATTTTGGTCACTGGCAATTTTGGTCACTTCCAGTTTTGGTCATTGGCAATTTTGGTAACTGGCAATTTTGGGGATGCAAACCATGTCACTGGCAGTGCTTGGGGAATTAAGACCATAACATATCATTGGCAATTTTGGGGATGTAGTTCATGTTGCTTACAAATAGCTGGGAATGAAAGCCCATGTCACTTACAATATTGTACACCACATGTGGTGACATGGATTTCATCCCAAACCCATCCATTCTTTATTTATGTCAATCTGTTGGGTCTCTTGCCCATTGATTTTGTTCAGTTGGGGAACCCCATGTAAATAAAACGGTATGCAACTATATCCCCCCAAAAAACCGAAACCATGGTTTCTATATAACAACTTTTTTGTAATGTATCTCTCCATGTTTGAAGGTTGACAATCTTTATGGTTCGTTTTTGAAATTTATCGCTATAGGGCCCACAAAAGGATAAGGGGCACCACAAAAATGGGTTGTTTTTGGCATCCAAAGATAACACGCTTTCCAAACTAGCATGGGTTTCTGGAAATAGCACCAATCCCAACACAGAGATTGATTCTTGGGAATTTCCTGGATATCAATAACATTGGGTGATATACCAAGTCCATCTTTGCCCCTGCCCCCCCCAAAAAAAACAATCTGTCCAATGATTAGTATTTTATGTTGTTTTAATTTTGACCAATGATTATTATTTTATGTTGTTTTAATTTTGAAAAACGAACCCCACAGGAAAATCACAAGGGTTGTAAACATCCAAGCCACAGGGTCTTAAATGCCAAGATCCATCCATGCATCCATGAACCAAGGACCTTGGACAATGAGCTTCGAACTCAAGTGAAGCTTGGTCTACACAACGGTGCTTTTCAAATAGCAGGGAAGCAGGGTATGGTTTTTTATAATTTTTATAATCCATTTTGTAATCATCCAAGGAAAGGGCTTGACCCAGACTTTGACTGGAAGAAGATTGGGTTCGTCTTGGAAGCATGTGGCAAACAGCAGGAAGATCATGTGGTATCAGCTCAGTCTTCAGTGAACAATGCGAGGAAAACTTCTTTGCAAGCGGCCTACAATCTCTTTAGCACCAACGTGGCAAACGACCAGTGCTTGCAGGATAAGTTCCTGGCAACAGCTGAGATGAACTCCTCAAGGGCTCGCTCAGTCCTTGTTCACAGCTTGGAGGCTTCGAGACATTGAAATTTCAATAGGCCATTTTATCTAGGTATACCTCCAAAATCACCTACAATATAATATAATATGTATTAAATAATTATATTGTATTTAATGTATAATAGGTACAGGGACAAATTTGAGGATTTGGGAACCCTAAATAATATATTGTTTATACATGGGTATGGGGCAAATTTGAAGATATCCAATTATGTTTATACCACAATTTGGGGTAAATATTACATTGATTTTACCACTGATTTCAGCATGTTTTTGAAACAAACCATCCAAATACCATCGAACTCTTGGGGTACCCAATTGTGATCTATGCTGATTTCTTTGACAAAGCTTCAGATTTGAGATTCATCCCTTAAGTGCCTGTCAAGAGTGGTATACCTCGATATATCTAATGTCAACAATGATCAACCAGTACAGGGTATAGTAGGTATATCGGTTTCACCAGGCTGAACCCAAGGAATAGAAAGGTGTGATACTTCAATACCTTAAACAACCACCATGTCTGACTTTCCCTGCAAGAAAATGCATGGTACAGCGTGGAAGCTGGTGAACGAGTTCGTCCAAGAAGCAATTCCTGTATGGGATGTGACCCTTCCCAAATCAGCACAAGGACACATCTATTTTTCTCCCTGACTTTTTGAGTGCATAAAGCATATTTTCAGTTTTGGACACATAAGTTCTTCTTACTGACTTTTTGGGTGCAAGAAATATTAACAGACACATTTTGGATGAAACACTGCCCACTATTATTTTTGTTTTTCTCCTTCACAACTACCTCCACAATAGGAGTTGAAGCTGATGCAGAAGCTTCGACCTTCGCTGCAAAGAATGAACCCTGGCTCCAGGAGATACTCACCTCTTTCGGCTCTGGCATCCGTCGCCCTGACAGCGAGCGCATCATGCTGTGGGTGAACTATGTTGCTGCAGGTGTAGTGCCTGGAAAGAAGATCCTCTTCACTGTGGAACAAGTCCAACAATTCCTGCATGCCTTCCCAAGGACTTCCGTTGCTTTTGTGCTTTTGCCAAACAGGGCACAAGATTTGCGGAGCTCTCCCAAGTGGCTTGGCTAAATTTGGTGTTCATACTTTGATATACTTTGCATTTACTTGGTCAGACCAAATCCCAAAAAATGGTTGGGATGTCCAGTCAGGAAAGAAGAGAAGGATGAGGCAGATGAAGACAGAGAGGAGGATGATCAGGGTGCAGTGAAGAAGCAAGAAGAAGGACTATAGTTTTAAAAAATCAGCTGCTGTTAGCTTTTGATGTTTTATGTTGAAACGGGCTCCCAAACAAATAAAAAAAAGATAAAGCTACAAAGCAGGAAGTGACGCAGAAGCAGAGGAAGATCCAGCAGCACACACCTCTGCAGATGCGATCTTGCGTGACTTCCGATACAAGTTGCAGTGCGCATTCATGGATGCCCAGAGAGATCTCAAGGCATGGTGCTTTAACAACTTTACAGATTGAGATTTTGTGCAGCAAATACCATCAGCTAGATTTGATCTGTTCAAATCTCAACTTGTTTGCAATAGTGGTGGGTTTGTTTTGCAGCATGCTTCTGTGTAGCATCCTTGTTGGCCCAGGTCCGCCCAGTGTCTGTCTTCTTCGAGCCCACGACTGTCTATGGCACCAGAGAAGGATATCATTCTGCCCTCATGATCACCAGCAAAGACAAGGGAAACTGCTTCTTGAAGAGTGCTCTCTACAAGAGTGGCGTGGTCTCTTCAGTGAGCATGCTGCCAAGGTTCCCTGGCTCAGTTTCGGCCAAGATGCTTTCAAGAAAGGGGTCAGATTCCATAGCACTATTTCAATAATTTATGCTATCAGCACATAGCTGCATGCTAGGAATGAAATGATGAAGGTGGAGCGCAACAATGGCCGCTTCGCAACAGATGGCCGTTTGACACGGGTGCAGGAGCTCAAACAGGCAGTCTAGCCTAAAGAGATTACGTATGTTTTCCCAAATTGGTTTAAAATGGTTAAACTTACAAGATTTGTTGCTTCAAAGTCACACTGCTTTTACCCTGCAGCACCTTGGTGGGATGAGCATCGTTGAGAAGGTCACATCTGGTTTGCTGAGCCCGATGGATGAGGACACATCCAATGTGGTGATTGATCTGTTGGGCTTCGATGGCTGGCCAGCATCATATGCCATGGGACAGTTGGCAGGAGGACTGTGTGGGAATTGGGTGTGGGAGCTGGGCGTTTGTAATGTTTCATCTGTGGGAATTGGATGGTTGCTCAAAGTTCTTGTGCATGTTTTATTCCTCAATGCTTTTTGGGGTTCCAGGCAAGAAGTGGGCATGCTCAACTGCATGCCACAGCCACACTGACACTGCCTATTGTGCGTCGGTGGTTGGCCAGAAAGCTTACTCGATGTGCAGAAGTGGATCGCTCAAGTTGCCAGGGTTTCCATGCTTTGAAAGCGTGGTGCAAGATCTGAAGAACAGTGCCAATGAAGTAGCCATGCCAGACTTCCAAGTTTGCGTTGCAGTGCCAAATGGTCTGGCCATCAAGCAGAACCTGGTGGACTACTGGTCTGGCATTGACACATTCCAGTTGCAGGTGGCTGACTTGGTGGAGGCCCACAACAAAAAGTACAATCCACATGGCATCAAGCGTGGAGCATCTGATGCGGCTCCGTCAGGGGGCAGCAGTGACTGGGACATGTGTGTTTGTTTTTACTTTCTTTTTGGGGGGATAGTAGGTGTCAAGGGTTGCTTCCAACATTGAGGCGATGCAGCCACAAGTGAGTCCAAGAGGATCCGCATCGATAGTAGTGTCAAAGTGGCTGAACATGAGGCAAACATTGCTGACAAGCTCCTTTGATCTTATTTGAAACATATTTTCTAAGTTAGTTCAGGCTTATGACATGGTACCCAGCCACCAAATCATGGGTTAGGATGGGGTCCTGTGGTTTGATTTTTCCCTGAGGCTTGCACTGTCGTGTGGGGGCTTTCGCTTGGTGTATGACTCTCAGCAAGAGTCCCTGTGGATTTGTGGCAATGACAACAGGAAGGAAAGCTTCCAGGTGAAGGGGCCAATCGAATTGTTTGGCTTTGGATCAGGCGATTTTGTTGAGGGTCCTGAAGCAATGGATGTGCAAAGCGATGTGACAGGGCGTTGGCTTGGCTACAAAATTGCCCTAGCCTCTGAGTTCTGCATCTTGGAACCTGACCGTCGCCTGCCCCAACATATAAAGGCATTGGACATTTGGGGCAAGGTGCTTGGGTACAAATGACCACCAATTTTTTTTGACAAACGTCTGGGTATCATTGTTTTACAGGTGTTCCCATTTTTTTAGTTTGCTTTTGTTCATTCTGAGAACATGGGGGTGGAAGTAAACTGCAGGTGCTGACCTACAAAGAGGCCATCAAGGATTTGGAAAATGCAGGGGAGGTCAATGTGAAATTGTCCATGCATTCGCTGGACAAACAGGAGGGGTCGAATGACATCACATTTACCTCGCAGAAGAAAGTGTGCTTTGTCCTCGACCAGCCCAAGGAAAGCAAGAGAAAGAAGGTGGGCTCAAGGGTTCAACCACATCTTTCATCATCCTCTCTATTTTTGTTTCTTCTGAGCCAACCTGTGAACCCCATAATCTTCCATATTCTTGCATCATTGTTGTTTTTGTTCTACAATGTTTTTAAGTTGAACAATGTTTGAAACCATTTTTCTTTAAGCAGCTCAGTTCCTAGGCATCTTGCTCAGCTATGACATTTGGTGCCAAGCTTATGCTGACAAAGCTACGCACCTCTGAGAATCTGAAAATCTCATGGCGGTTGAGGCCTTTGGCTGCTGAAAAAAATATGGGACCCCAAATCAACCAAACAGCCGATCATAGCATATTTCAAATATTTCAATTTACACTGATCATTTGGCAAATAGTAAACAAACCTCTTAGCCCACAAAACCAACACATCCAACAGTGAACTACAGTGAGGTTATTTCTGCCAATTTGATGTTTTGATCATCAAAAACATGATTCATTTTTTCATGGGGTTGTGTTTTGTGATCATCAAAAACCTGATGCCACTTTGCTCCACTTTGCCCTCCATGGATGCCAGGCTTCAGCCAGACCAAAGCGGAAGTGGCAAGGATTTGGTGCCGATTCGACCTGTGGCAATGTTGGTCCACACCTTTGAGGGGAAGATGGATGAGATGTATCAACTCTTTTAGTTGGTGGCCTGGAAACTGAAGGATCCCAATGTTCGAAACATATTGAATTTTGAACATCTAAACTACAATCATTCAGCATATTTAGCAGCCAACTTTTGAGGCAGTCGCGTCTTAAAATGATTTGTGGGATAGCTTCAGGCAAAGCTTTTTGGATGAAAACTGGTGACAACACCGGTCATGGTTGAGGCCATTAGTGTAGTGTTTTGCACTGCAAGCAGTGCATTTGGGGTGCCAAGGAATGAATGCTTGGCTGGTTTGGGGGTAAAACTGCCCCATGGTTTCACGAAACCATCAATCTTTGTGGTTGCAATAGATTGCATCTTGGTGCGCTGATTGGTAGTCATAGACCCTTGGCTGTTACCATCTAGTGATTTAGCAATATATGTGGAAAACTTACAATTTGCAGATCATATCCTTAACATACCAGTGTCTATACATTGTCAAATTGTTGATGTTTATATGGAAATTTCTTAAAATGGAGGTACCCTAAAATATATTCTTTTTTGGTGGGATTTTCACTGAGACAATGAACTGTACTATCTATTTTGGGGTACCCTGCATTGTTGGAAACCCACTCTTCTATGAATATCAGGTGGACATGAGCCCACCAATTTTAAGATGCACCCTTTGCATTCATGGGCTCAAGAAATCCAACACCAAAAGGATCTTAGCCCTGCTTTGTGGTGTCATGGGGACACCATCCCGGACCTTGGGGGTTGGCTACCAGGGGTGTGCTACAGTTACACCTCGGTTTGAACTTGAGAGCTACCAGAGCCTATTGAGTGTGGTGCCAAAGGCTTCTTCCTCACAGACTACACCAAAGGCTTCAGCCAAACCTGCTTCCAGCCGTGCCTAGCTTTTTATCATAGCTGTGCTATTTTTCTTTTTTGCAAAGCTTTTTGCAAAGCTGGTTTTCAACTTGAAACTTTTGGAAAACAGAAATGGGACCCCAAACTTGCCACAGGTGCAGCACCGTCTTTGCTTCAGCGCTGTGAGCTGGCAAGTTCTTCAGATGAGAGGGCATCTGAAGAAAAGAAGTTAGGAAAAGAACCAAAGGATGAAAGTGATGAGCCCAAAATCAAAAAACCCAGGGGAAAGACACCAAAAAATGAAACGAATGATGATGAAGACCCCCCAAAGACTTTGAAGAGGCCTGCAGCAAAAAAGTTCAAGAAAGACGAGTTTGATGGTATGTTCGACGACTTTCAAAGAGGCGATGGTGATGACCATAGTGATCCTGATGCAGATGAAGGTGAAGGTGGAGGTGATAAAAAAAAAGAGCAAAAGACGCAAGAAGGATGATGGAGATGGAAAGCAACACAAGAAGAAGCAGGAGTGCCACAATTTGCCAATATCTGATGTGTTTTATGTATGTCAAAAAAGCCCAGTGGACCTTTTGTAGCTTTTCAAGTTGTGCTTTTTACTCTTGGAATGCTTGTTGTTGTGTGCCTCTGTTGGTACATGTTTCACTGGAACTGTTGGTGATTTGTGTGTCCAGGATAAGACCGAGAAGGAACCCCGCAAGAAGAAGCACAGTGGTGGAAAGCGCAAGCATGGTGATTCAGAGGATGCTGCTGTTGTCTCAGATGATGATGAGGTTGGCTCAAAGACCTTTAAGGATGACAAGGGTGGCCCAAAGGGCTCTGAGGATGAGAAGGTTGGCCCAAAGGGCTTCAAGGATGAGAAGGTTGGCCCAAAGGGCTTCAAGGATGAGAAGGTTGGCCCAAAGGGCTTTGAGGATGAGAAGGTTAGCTCGAAGGGCGTTGAGGATGAGAAGGTTAGCTCGAAGGGTGTTGAGGGTGACAAGGGTCGCTCAAAGGGCTTCAAGGATGAGAAGGTTGGCACAAAGGGCGTTGAGGGTGAGAAGGGTGGCTCAAAGGGCTTCAATGATGAGAAGGTTGGCACAAAGGGCGTTGAGGGTGAGAAGGGTGGCTCAAAGGGCTTCAATGATGAGAAGGTTGGCACAAAGTGCTTTGAGGATGAGAAGGGTGGCAAGGGGCTTCAGCGTTCCCACAGCTTTGTGGACACAGCAGTGCCAGAAACTAGCAGTGCAGCAGCTCATTTGTTCGACTTGGTCACAGCTTTTTTATTTGTGACTACTGACCCTACTACTGCTTTGTTTGTTTATGCATCAACATCATGTGAAATCTTTTCGACTTAATATTGTCACTCATTGGCAGGTGGCCTCCAAGACGTTGGATGTTGCCGGCAGCTTGGGTGAGCCATCAGATCATGATGGCTCAAAGGCAGAGAAGACCAGGTATCCAAAAAAGGACAGGGGTGACATGGGATAGATAGTTGGAGCACTTAAATGTAATTATTTTATTTGGGTGACTTGGCACATAGTGGTTAAAATTAGATAGGAAACATTCATTCCAAACATGGGGGAGGAGACTGTGGACAAGCTGGGCAAGCTCATTGATTCTTACATCACCACTGCAACTGCTGACTCCATAGGGCATGATGAAGTACAAGAAGCTTTTGAGACCCAGGAAAAGTTTGCAAATGGCACCCTGTTCACTAGCTCTGACTTCGAGATGATCTCCCCAGCGACAGAAAAGACTGTGTTTGACTCCCCGGACTCCCAAAAGACCCTCCGACTTGAAGAAGGTGGCATGAGGGACGAGGACACCATTGTTGTAGACAAAACATTTTTTTCAGAATTGTTTAGAAGGCAGGCTTTCCATTTTGCAAACAAAAACTGCAGGAGCTAGCCCCAGCTGGACAGGAACCTCTGCCTGCTGATGCTACAAAGGATCTTGGTGGACATCAAGAACCTGACATGGTCTCGCATGGCAGTTCTGAGGACTGAAGTTCCAAAAGATTAATATTATTGTTTTTTCTTGTGTATGCAAGCCATATAAACATGTTTGTATGACAGGAAGTTCCAGCAGCTATGTTGCCCTCACAAGTAGAAAATGTTGTATAGGTTTCTTTGCAATGTTTAATGGTTTTAAATTTTAAAACCCTGGTAAATCTTGAGGAGCGTGGGCAGAGACTTGAAGTGCAGACTCCAGAAGCAAAGGCACCCACTTCCCAAAAGAATCCGAAAACAGCCTCTAAGTCCAAAGCAAAGTCGAAAGCAAAGCCGAAAGCAAGTCCGAAGACAAAAGTGGTTGGCAAGCAGGTGAAGGCAACGACATATGCCCGAGCAAAAGCAGTTCCAAAAGGAAAGGCGAAGGCAGCCCCGAAGAAAAAAACAAGTCCGAAGAAAAATGCAGACAAGGGCAAGAAAGAAGAAGAGAATGAGGAGAAGGGATCGGCTACTTGGCCCTTCTTTTCTGCATGGTTTCAACTTTCAAGCCATATCAAAGGACTTTGAGCAATTTTGGATGATATATTTAGGACCCCATGGCCCAATAAATTTTAGGAAATTGGAATTAATAATATGCTGATCTCCCACTGATACAATACTTCTGTGTGCAGAACAATCTAAGGATGGCTACAAGCCTGCAACACGGAACCGTGTCTACAGCCGGGTGTACAGGCAAGTGTACTCGAAGCATAAAGACCGTGAACTTGCCAAAAAAAGGCCAAAGAGGAAGTCGACCGCTTGGGACTCTAGGATTCTATACTGGCATCAACAGAAATGCCCCCTGAGGCAAACTCATAGTTCAATGTAAAAGTTTGAGGTCACCTTAAAAAACTTGAAGAATCTGAGGTGTGATTTTGGGTTTGCCTGTGCCCAAATTGAACCCAGGGGCATGACCCCCTGAAGCCGAGATGCTTGAAAAAAGTTGCGCTTGCTGGCACAATGCACCAGGGAAAACCACAGCACAGCAGAGCACATAGCTCAGTGATCAAAAAAGTAAAATGACAACTCCATAAAAGTTAGATGTACCATGATGATTTTTGATCTTAACCTCTGATGTTGTTTGTGGCCCCTTGCTATAACATTTCCTTTGACCAACGCCTAATAGGTTAGGGTAAACTAATGAGCAAAATGGCTGCTCCAAAGATGAACATGTGGAGACCTGGTTGGGTTTGGGTGGAGACCTGCTTTGAATGACCTAATTTTACATCTGTTCAGATGGTACACACACATCATAACAAATCAAGAGCACATAGGTCGCTCTTGGAGAGGGCGAGGGAGGGAGAAATATGTCGCTGTTATGATATGTTACAGGATCTACAGTACATTCTGGCATGATTTGGATGCGCATTTCGATTTGACAATGCTCGGGCTATCTCGCTAGATGAGCTTCCAACAAGGCAAAGTCCAGGAGCAATCCTTCAAGGGCTTGGACTATGGGAATCGCTATTTCCAGACAAATGAGGAGGCATTTGGAGGACTGGCGACTGGCGCGGCAGAGCACTGACGACATGATGCGAATGAATGCGAACACGTCACTGCAATGGCTTGTTACCATTTGTTACCATAAAATCATATAACATCCATAAAATATATGTTGAGGATATGAGCAGCCGACGCATGTGCCGCGCGATCCGATGCCGGACAAAGCTGCTGCTTGTTCTGGATGGAGGATGAGTACAAACAGCATTGCGTAAGAAGTAACTCTTCAAAGTCAGGGGGTTTGTGTCACTAGCTCTTAGAACAAGGGAGCGGACATTTTCGCAGTCTGACCCAAAGATGAATTCCAAGGGATTCCACCGCTTCCAATTTCCATCAATTTCCAAGGTCAAGTATCCTCATGAGTCGCCATTCCGGCCGCCCAATCCTATGAAGCGAGATGCAGTGGGATGCCTCATGGGTGGGATCCCAGAGCCACTCGCCTGAAGAAAATGGGACATGGCACTGGCAGCACTATGGCACTGTTGGGTTTTGATCCTGGCAAGGTTGGCTGCTAAGTCCATCCAGCTGGAAACCAAACTTGAAACCAGTTTGAAACGATTCTCGTTGATCTTAACTGCACAGTCAATTCTTTTCGCTTTCAACTTCTAGTTCTAGCACCTTCAAGCTCTCTGCTCATGAGAAATCATGATGACCAGTGCATCCTTTCCACAATGATAAGTTTTGGCCCTCGACAAATTTGGCAGTCAGTAGCACGGTGGTCCGTAAGACCACATTTTGTTGCAGACAGAAATGACAGCGTGATTTGACTCGCAAGGTACATCCCATGTCCAGAAGATCCTGTGGTTCGGAAGCCGAAGGCGGGATTTTCAAACTAAGCTAGCCACAGCAGTTTATTAGCTCCACTAGTAGCACTAGAGACATATCAATTCATGTCTCACATCTTAGATTGTGCCAAGTCAGATAAACTAAGTCAGGCCGTGTTGGGCCGTCCTGGTCAGGTTGAAGATGCTCCTCCAGTTCCTCGCCTGTGGGTATTGGGTGGTGCTACAGCGACATGATTTGAGTTTTGCACAGCAGAGCTGGGTCACTTGAGACAAGAGCAAGGCAATGCAAGGCATGTTCAGAAGGGGGATCTCCCCCAAAAGTCACCTTATTTAGATTTGTTTAGCTTTTTTATAATTTGTTCACCTTTAGTGATATGTAATCCTCTCTCCCTATGATAAAGATAAAAAATAGAACTGGTGAGATGGGACCCTAATAAAAAACCTCCAGGTGGCAATCTATTTTTATAAATAGGGGGTTGAACCGATTGTTTCACCAACCTGTTCTCCTATTGATTCTCAATTCCCACGATTAAGAGTCCAACTGTGCGCAACCAAAAAAACCGGAAGTGCCACACCAATCCTTTTTTTATTTGGGGGAGTTTTAGTAATAGGAAGAAGGGATTAAATTCTGCATTCTACGGGGCATGTTTGGAGTGTTATGACCATTTTCAGTTCGGGTTTTGAGTCTTGAGCTCAACTTCAAGTCATTTTTGCTGTCAATCCATCTTTGCTTACTGCTTGCTTACATGGGACGGATAGAGGAAACAGAAAGAAGAGGTTCATGAGTGCACAAACTTTCACCGGTCCTTTCACTGGATGCTAGTATAGAGCCAGCCGTTCTTGCTGTGTTTTTTCCAACAGTTTTTGGGGTTGCAGACAAGTCATAAGGCCTTCAAGACGGGTGCTCCAAAATATGTGGCCAAGCCAACTCCATCAGCAGCTTGGCCATGATGCGCATGATGGGACTGGGCCTTTTTGCAGCAGCCCGATGCTTCATTCTTCATTCTTCGGCGAGGAGGATACTGTGTATATATAATTATATATATATATAATTATATATATATATTATATAGAATATTCTATATTAATGAACGTGATATACGATGATATAGCATTGTAGCCTTCAAAACTCAAGACAATGTGTGGCAAAACTATGGTAGTCATTGGGAAATATTGTGGAAATACCCACGCTGCAAGAGTGGACTTGAGGTCACAACACTGGCGCGGAATATGCGCAACGAGAGGCCTTCCAGTTTCATGCGGCCGCCGCTGGGCACTTTCAAACCGCCACAAAAAGCTCCACAGATCCCTATGATGTCACTATTATAGTCCCTATACTCGCCAGGGCAGCACTTATGATTGACACGGTATTGATTTATCCTTGGTGTGCCCTAAAGAAGGACAGTTGTTGTAAACAAAAAGTTGACAACCAAATCTCCAGTTCCCTCCCTCAACTTTTAGGTTCAAAACCTTCGTGTTTCTGATGGGTTGTTTTGAATTCTGTTGGTTTATGTTTGTTTGAGAACCTGTTGCCAAACGCTACTGGTGGCCCCTCTGGCAATTTGAGCCTGCCCGAAGCGGGCTGATTTTTTCCAAGAGGTGTTTGTGACCTGCTCTAGGGGCCAAAAAGCCAACACAAGTTGGAAACAGGGGTCAAGAACACTTCTGGCGGACAAATTCTTGGAAACTGCCCCGGCCCTCCAATAATTAAGAGATTTGAGAGTGGGACCGCAGGAATGAAGAAAAGACCATAAATAGCATCTTTCCTGCTTAAGAAAATTCAACGGGCATACTGAAATCATTTGAAATCGCTAAAACGTGTTGGCTTTGGTAGTAGTATTGGCCCTATACCTGCCTTTGGCCTACCAACCGCTTAGGCTTATATAGATAGTGAAAGTTTTTTTTAAACTACTCATCATCCCTACTGAGCCAATGTGAATCTTTTCCCTTGAGCGAGAGGGTTTTGGCGGGGCTTTTGGTCGAGCAATGGTCGAGTGTGCAAGCAAGAATGAGCCAACCAATCTGGGGAACCAAGGACTCTTTGAGAGCGGCTCAGTAGCCATGGCAGCTTGCTGCAGTAGGTGCCCAGACATTGCCTGTGCACCGTGGCCCATGTTGCTCTGATGACATCTGATGACTATGCCCCTGCGATCTCTGACCAATGAGTCATTACATCATGAAAGGTATATTGAAAGCTTAATTATTACAAGTTTGTGAGGCTCAGCAGAGGTTGCGATGCTGTCATGTTCTGTTTGCCGCTTTGCGTTGATTGTATTGCGCCAAATCAATGTCAAGTTTGCAGGTGCACTGGGACAAATGCGAGAGTTGTGAAGCATGATCGCGTCTCAGAAGGTCAGTTCCACTCCTTGCTTTGCAGACCACACGAGGTCTACGATAAGATAGATGATGTAGATTTGAATGATTGGACAGCTGAAGTGACCGTCCAAAATCACTATAGGGTCAACACATTTGTTCAGTGTGTTTCCTTCTGTGGGGCCAGATGCTATGTCCCAGACACCCAGCGAAAACCTTGCTCTCAGCTGCATACTTTTCTCCAAGTAGCGTTGACACATTAAAACATCTTCATAGATAGAAACTGATCACTCTCGACCCTCACTCTCATCCAGTGGAAGTAGTCTTACTACTATGTGTTTTGGAGACCTACATTGAACTGTCGGAGTGGATCGTGAGACTGTATAGAAGGGGTCCTCGTGCCTCCGGCCGAAAGGGTCGTGAATCGCCCTGGCGAAAACAGTGTGGGCGAAAATGTTTGCCAGAAGTTTCACAAAGCTCTCACCCGAGGCCCATCATGGGCACCAGCCAACTGTGGATTTCCCTTCCCAGGCAGATTTCACCAGATTGGTCCCAAGGACCCAAGGAACCTTGGGAGTCAACAGCATCCAATAGATCCAATAGCAGTCAACAGCACCAAGGACGCAACGCTCATTTTGTTGGAGGCTTTTCGTGGGCAGATGTTTGATGGTCAAGCTGTGTAGTACTTGGATATTACTCGGATGTAGTGGGACAATTTGGTGGACAGACGCGGACCGGCCGTGACTTGCGCACGAATTGAAAAGAAACCAGGGTAGAAGCTGGGCCGCTGGGGGGCTTGTAGCCTGTTGCGCTGTGGGTTTAATGAAAGGAAGGCTATTTTTTTCCGTGTTGTTTTTTTTAAATTCTGATTCCCAGCTTCTCTGCTTCTCTGCTTCTCTGCTTTTCCCTGCTTTTCCCTGCTGGCCTGCTTCTCTGCTTTTCTGCGTTTTCCTGCTTTTCTGCTTCTTTGCTTCTCTGCTTTCCTGCTTCTTTGCTTTTCTGTTTTTTTTGCCTCTTTGCTTCTCCGCTTTTCTGCTTTTCCTTGTTTTTCTGCTTTTCCAGCCCATACTGTAAATAAACTCTCAGACGCATCATAAATTTATATATTACATAAACATACGCAAACCCCAAATCAGCCCTAAATCAACCATAAATAAAACCCAAAACAAGAAAAACACACTAAAGCAACTCTAAGTAAACCCTAAGCATTCCCTAAATAAATCTGAAACTAATCCTGAATAAACTCTAAACCCACCCCAAATAGATCCTAAACAAACCCAACTATATGTCAAACCAAGCCCAAATAAACCTCTCACCAACCCTAAATAGATCTTAAACCATGCCTAAATATATAAATTCTAAACCAACGCTAAACAAACCTTAAACTTTAAACCAACCCTGAAGAGGTATTACACCAACTCTAGACAGATCCTAAACCAAGGCTAAAACTAACTCTAAATAGATCCTAAACCAACCCCAAATAAATGTTAGTCCAAGCTTGAATAGACCTTACACCAACCCTAAATAGATCTTAAACTAGGCCTAAATAGCTCCTAAACCAAACCTAAGCACCGCTAAAAACCAACCCTAAATAGCTCTTAAACCAAGCCTAAAGAAATCACAAAACTAACCCTAAATAGATCCTAAACAAACCCTAACTCCAAAACCAACGTTTAAAAAGAGCTAAAACCAACCCTAAATGAACCCTAGTTGCAACCTACCATGTTCCATGAACAGTTCGAAATGAGAGGTTTTGACTCAAAAATGCTGCAAGTGCCGTTGACATGGCAGCTTCCAGCTCCAAAATGCTGCAAATGGCGAGGAAAATGGTCAGAATAGGAAATCCCACCCCCAAAAAATAAAACGGAAAAACCGGACCCTTAATGAAATTTTCAGCTCTTCGGCAGCCGACATCTTGCACAAGCAGTTGACAAGCAGCCATGCTTCATACATCTTCATACATAATTTTAAATTATTTTAATTCATTTTATAGATTGTAGATCACCATTGATCATCTTAATGCTTTCTCCACTGAGGCCTGGATTGTCCTCCGCGGAACTGAGATGCGAAAGCCTGCAGAAAATCTCAGAAGCAAAGAATCGAAAAAAAAACATGCAGAGTATTCAGCATTATTCAACGAGGGTCCTTGCATTCCAGAAGTAGCAGGATTAGGACGGATTCACGTGTGCACAGTGGGTTTCCCAGTCTTGTTAGTCTCGGTTTTTCGACTTCACTCAGCAAACAGATGATGGTTTGGGCCCTTTGGGCTGGAACTTCAGATAAATTGGGATATATTGGGATGCATCGAATGAAATAGTCACATTATTAAATAGTCTCTATATGTCTCTATCGGGTGTAGGTGCTCGACTCACAGGATCCCGGTTGATCAACTGCATTGGCTGAAGATGATAATGACACTTTCAAGATGGGAAACAGCTGTCAAGACATGTCACGAAATGTTACGACATGTCACGACCACGATCCCTGAACTGCGAAGGCAAGTGCTGAAGCTACAACCTCAGCACAAGATCAAGGCTTGAATCCGACGCGCCGACGTTGTGCACATCTTGAAACAGTCATTTGAATCACAGTGCATTCGTTTCGAATCGTTTCGATATTTTTCTACAAATCATTTGGAAGCACTTGATGTTGAGGCTTCGCCATATCATGCTTGCTCTCATTTCCAGCTTGAATGGGTTCATGTTAGACTGAACTGATGTGTTTGATGATGCTTAATTAGACTCATAATTAGACTCCACCAGCCCTGGATGGTGGCTCTAGTGGCTCTAGTCCTTGAGAAGCCGATGCAAGTCATTGGGCTCCTTCTTGGAAACCTTGTTCCCATCAAAACGGTGCGGCAAACTGGGAAATTCAATCATTCGGCATCATTCGGCAATTTAACGATGAGATTCTCAATGACGTTGTCGACGTTTGACACTTTTTGACATCATTGAGGATATTTGAAGTTATTCTTCCCAAGCAGATTGAGCTAAGAGAACGGTATTACTCCGTGCCGCTCTCACTGCATGCGCGCACACGCACACACATGTATACCACATAGATACTTAGTATTTGTTTGCAGTAGTATACATTGTAAGTTTGGACAAATCTAGCACATTGTAAGTACCGCGTGCTCCTTCAAGCTCCTCAAGCCTGTCATGCGTTACAAACGACAATTGCCATGGCAGCCTTGAATATCTCCGTTGTCAGGACGATTTGAAACTGTGAGGGATTTGGAAGATTTTGGACGAGGATATTCTACATTGAAGTCATTGAAGTCATTGAAGTGACATGTACTGAAAATTAATCCTCAGGCCTGATGAGCTGCCAATTATTGCATGTTCGATCATGTTTGTATTGTTTATTGTTGTTTATTGTTGTTGTTTTGCAATGTTTTTGCATGTTTGCATGCAGAGGAGGAGCCAAGAGGATTAGTTTTCTTTGGCTTGGCATTTCGCTCTGACACTCGGCATGGCAAACTTGCTCTATGGGAAGCAGCTGGCCAACGCTTTGGGCAAGGTTCGGCGTGTTGGCTGCGTGTCGGGGTGGAGTCACGGACATGAACGACTTCATGAATCTATGGGATTCAACATGCAGTTTGTGTCACGTAGGTACGCGCAGTATTTGAACGTTAATGTACGTTCTATATAGTTCTATATTGTTCTAGATTCTATGTAGTCATCATAGTCACACATGGTATAGCCCAACATCTTTGGTAGCTACTGACTTCGAAAGCCATCAAGGTGATTGCTCTGATCAGGATCATGCCGTATCATGTTGTAGCATTTTGTGGTGGTAATTTTCAATACTTTTCTGATATTTGCATATATTTGCCAAATTATATATGTTTAAATCGTATGAGACATCTCCGTACTACACCGGCTCTACATCAAACGCTGCAAGACCGGACTGAACTGTCAGCGGCCCATTTTTAAGTACGTCCGTCATCCTATCACGCTTGACCGTGCTGGCAGGATGGCAGCAGCAAGGACGCCATACAAACTGCAAAGGATGTATGGATATATGTAGAGTATATGTGGTGTTTGTTTTTGATTGTTTTTGTATCAATGCTGCCTGTGATATCCTGTGATGCTGTGTGGATTAAGCACTATCAGTATCTATCAGTATCTATTGTATCTAATGTTAGGAGTTTTGTTGTGAAAATTTGTGCAGGATTTCAAGCGAGTATGGAAAGTGGCAATCCAGGCCGGTCTGTGACTTGATCTTTGCATCTCTTTGCACTTTGCTTCCGAGAGGTTTGCGAGGTGTCGGTGTTGGCATACCGCAAAAATCTGCAAAACAAAGAAATAAGAACAAGAATTGATTCAGACTTGATGGAAAAAAACATTTTGTTTTTCTCCTAATTTTGTTTCCAATCATTGCCTAAAGAGGCAGTCGTTGCCATGCTGCGCTTCAAGAGTGGTTTGTCTGGTTGGTCCCAACGGGCCGATCCGCGTCCCTGGGACGTGCAATGTGCCGCAGAGTGCAAAGGTCTCAATACCCTTTAGTAATCGGCAACTAGAGCAATCTATAGTAATCTATAGATATCTATAGATATCTATAGCAATCGGTATTTCCATTGCTCTTGAACTAAGTTGAGCTTGTAAGTTTTGTACGGCTTGGTCAGCTGTCAGCCAACTGAAGAACTCCAGACATCAACGATCCACCTGCTCTATATGAAGGGTGTACGGATATTCCCTAGCCATATTATAATATATTTATAAGATTTATATAATATATATATATATGTCATAATGATATGACATATAGAATAATAGCAATAATAATGATAGTAGTACAGTAATAATAATAACTCATACATAAGAACGTATTATGTCATTATACAATGTTAAAACTGTACCCCACATAGCATAAGATGAGAAGTCCATTGGATCAATATCCGACGCCTCCAATCATTGGGGCCACCTCAGGTTCTAAAAACGCTGTCGTTGACCACACCTTGAAAGGCTCCTGATGTGTTTGAGTGTGCCAGTGCGGAGTGAGGGTCAAAAGTGAAGAATTCGGTGTCGTGCTGCGCATTAGACTTCCCATGCAAAGCTGCTGACTTGCACAGAGCACCAGGTTTCCACACCCTGCCACCCACGCCCTTGCGGCGTTTGCAGAAAGAGCTGCCACCAGACACTGTGGAGCTGCTTGGACTCTTCATTGTGCCAGATAGAGGCACTGAAAGGCAAGGTGTTTGAACATGTTTGAAAAGTGCTCCAAGAGGCTGCCGCCAGAGTTGATAAGACGTGATGAGACTGATGCCAAGGGCAGATTTTGTGTCACAATGGAATCGTTTGCCGTTTTCTATGGCAAATCAACTGAGGCTTGTGCTACATGGTCTGAAAGGTGAACTGCTGATGGGGTCACTTGGTGGCACGCATGTAAACCTTGAGAAATGCACCAGGACCAGAAGTTATTCAATCTATCAGCTATCAACTCGTTTGGATTGGGCGATGATGAAGCTTATGTGAGCTAGTGCTTGTGCGATAAGGGTCCCACTCCTCTTTGCAGATTCTTGCAGTGTGTGACATCTTTTTCGCAGAATTTGAGGCCCGACGTTGTCTCCTTGAAGGTTCACATCTCCCAGATCAAAAAGAGGCTAGAAGTGCATGCACGAAACGAGGCGCAGCAGCGATGCATGGTTCGACTTGGTGAATTGGATCCAAACGGCATTCCCTTCCCTCTTTGGTTGCCCCACCGTTGGGCCGTTCACAGTTGCGTCTGAGCAACTTGCCAACCCTAGAATTCCCAGGCAGTTCATGTTACTCCGTGCCTGGTGTTTCTTCACAAAGGTGTGCAGCCTCATTTTTTTGTGGAAATGCGTTCCACCAGGGGTTTCCTGATGGGGCAACTTCAGGTCATCAAAGGGCGCCTGAGCCGTGCCTTGCAGCTCTACAGCTTCATTGCGTTGGGCGCAGTTCCCTGGAATAAAGTCCATGGGAGACTGATATGGAGACTGTGCTTATCTGTGCTTTATTCATCGTTATGCGATTTCATGCGGCCTGTTTCTTGCCCCTCGGGCATCCAGCCACTGAGGTGGTTCACCTTTTGCACAGACGCCGGGCCGTGGACGACATGGAGACTTGAAGTGCACGCCAGCCTCATTGTAGAATAATGAATGAATAATGAATGAATAATGTAGAATACAAAGGGTTTCAATAATTTTCAATACATCAGCATCCCCTCAGCTAACGAGCCTAGAAATCCTTTGACGGAAGAAAGGGCAGTAAAGCAATACATGGCCGAGTCAAACTGAATAAGTGAAAGGTGACGCTTGACGGGCAATACAAACATCCTGCCCCCTAGTAGAGTAAAAACTGCCTTTCAATCTCCCTGTAGTCCAGAGCTTCCGTGCAGCTGGTAGATTGAAATCCCCAGCTGAAGCGAATTCCGTGAGTGCTCCAAAACTTTCCATGATACTGCACCTCACAAATTTGAGCCTGCAAGTATTCGATTAACCATGCTGCCTCCAGGGTTTTGTTGTTCAGTGCGCTTTTTCCGAGCGCAGGAGACCTTGAGAATGCTGCAATCGGAACAAGCTGAGACAGGCCATGTTGGGTGCCGGTGGGATGGTGTTTGCAACTGCTTCGATGTCCTGTTTTCAGCACGTTTTCACGCCACTTGAGTCACTTGAAATTGAAGAGATGGAACGTTCTCTCCAGACACTTTGGCGACACTTGGTCTGCATTACTCTTGGAAACTAAGCAAGTCAGTGCTGGATGTTACTCTTTGGATCTCTTTGGTGATTTGGTGGAACCTGAAGTAGGCTTTGCTATGGCAGATAGGTCAGGGATGGTCAGTGCAAATAACTACTTCGAGTGCAAGTACAGTTATCCTGTTGGATCTTGCTGGATTGCGCAAGTAGGGGGAAGAACACATAAGCCACATGCACAAACTGCTATTTGAAGCACTTACATGCACTTACAGGGAATCCAACCAACGTGGCATGGACACTCAGTGACTCGCTGAAAGGAGGCTGGCTCAAGTTGCTTCTGCGATGCCACCCAGCCCAAACTCTCGTGGCGCTGTGGCTACTGAAAGTCAGGGTCCAAGCCCAGCTGGAACATCAGCCGGTTGAGGAGAAATGAAATTGTCCAACTTGCTTCTGTTTTTGACTGAAGGATTTTGCGCGATTTGGCTCCACACTATACATGCATATAACATATAAAGAATTTGCCCGACATACCGTACTGAAACGCGGGAAACTACCTGATGCTTCTGCAAAACAGGCAAGGACAACAGCAACGCCTGGTGCCGAGGCAACCGGGGTGATCTGCCAGCAGAACGGACCGGGCACCCAGCGTGGCTCTTGCAGCTACCCTAGGAACTCCAATGCTGTTTTCGTGCCACAAATAGCTGGATAGGGCTGCCCAACTACAGCATATCTCAGACGAGCGCTCCAGGGATTTCCAGGATGGAAAAATCCCTTGAACTTTGTTGCTTTTAAAGTTTGAGGAGCATAGGCGTAGGGATAGCTGGCCTTCGCATGCCTAGAATATCCTAAAATGCATGGTTTCCATGGTAGCTCGTTGGCATTTTTTTTTTGCGTTGTCCATTGGCCAATGCAAGAGAACACCTGTGCACGTTCTGGTACCTAGTGAATTCCCTCCATTTCCCTCCAAGTTTTAGTCAAATTCCCGAAAGCTAAGTCTTATCTATCGGTTCTTCGCTTTTCTGATGTGCAACGAGTATCAACGAGTGAGAGGCGTTCGTTTTTTCTCATTGAATTCCTGGGCAAGTACGGCTTCTATAGTGAGAGGTTTGCATGAAGATGCCTTTAAAATCATTTAAAATTGAGGAGGTCTGCATTTCACCTAATCACTGGCAGCGTATTCCGCTCCCAAGCACAGCTGCAGCTGTGAGGCTTGAACTCACTGCAGTGGTCTTCATCCACGTGTATGGGCTTGTGGCCTGGGGTGATCCTACTGCAGGCAATACTATTGATACACGGCTGACTTACAGTATGTTTCTGTAAGGGCCCGGCTGACTGAGGGCTTCAATGTGCTGACGGTCTAAGAGGTTCATATTTTCATCATACTTTCATCGCGCATTATGAAACCTCGACAGGTATTTGTCGTCACTGAGATGCTGAGATACTATAGCTTTTGAAAGTTTTTAGATTGATAGCTATCGCATGCTATCGCCTTTTATGTTACTACATATAATTACCATGTATATGAATACCATAGAATACCATTATATAATACATTATAATATATACTATAATACATATTACATCATATTACGACGTTTCGTTGGTAGATATCAAATCAATTCAGATACTGTATATTCACATCATCTTCGGGATGCACAGCAGCCTGCTGGACAGGTGGTTCGATCCCCTTATCGCTGTCGGAGCGTCTCAGCGCTGGGATCACCTTCGCAGTGGGAAATACCCGCGCCTTCGCAGCTGTTGGACAGCAAGGTTCTGTCACAACCTGGGGCGACCCTGCCTGCGGTGGGAATTCCGGGCTGGTGACCGAAGAATTGAAGAGCAAAGCCTTCCAACTTTGCTACAATGAATGGGTGGCTTGGATAAGGTGCAGTCAGGACAATCCTGCAGAGAGGTCCTTGACATGCCTCATATCTCAATACGAATTGGCTTAGAACACACTTATAGCGGTACCGACGTGGATATTCATCGCTCACATGCTTGCATCGAGCGCGGGTCTTTAAGGCCTTCACAGCTTTCAGAGAAGGAGGCCAGCTGGTGTGCTTCCTGTCTGCAGAGTGGGTGTTTGTGATGCGTGTCATTATGTCATATCAAGGCAGAAGCAACGATGACTTGGAGATATGTGCCATAATAATAACAGAAAGTCACGCCCAATAAGAACAATCTTAATAATAATGATGACATATGATGACGACATAAATATATTAATTATATATAAGGATAATAATCACAATAAATAGAAATGACAACACGGATAATAACACGAATATACTATACAATAATAATAGTAATAACAACAATGATAAATATAAATAATTGTAGATATGTAGATAGATGAAACTCGTGTGTACTGTTTCATTCTTCTTGGCTTCATTTGATCGGGCCACCGGCTCGCCCTCAGCCTGACGCTGAACCTTCGTGATGTTGATGGAGAGGGAGATAGGTATAGATATATTATGATATTAAGACTATATAAGACTATATAAGACTATATAAGACTATATACAGTAAGACTATATAAGACTATATATATATAAGACTATATATATATATAAGACTATAGAAGACTATATATACTATATACATATACACATGCCGCCTGAGGTTGGGGTGACGCAGATGCAGGTGGTTCTCCTGGTGATGTTGCCTCTTCCTTGACTTCTGGTGTTGTCAAAGTTTGCACCTGCCTCAGTTTTGTGTGGACAGGATGAGCTTCACTTGGGGCCCACATGGTGTTGGATGGTGTTTGGATCCTCATGCAGGTTGTACCAGTGATCAGCAAGGAGTCGTTTGTTCAAAGCAGCTTCCTGGAACACTGCTGAACCAGCTGAGACAGAAATCAGTTGTAACAGAAATAACATGAAATAACCAGTGAACAACTGAGGCAGCACAGAGTTTGCTTTTGCAGCTCTCAAGGAGAATGGCCAGGAAACTTGACGCAATGAGACTGCAATGACCAAACCATCCAAGTGACAACAGCGTGGAATCAAGGATAATCAAGCTAAATTTGAAGTGGCCTTCGCAAGCCTTCTTTGAGATGGCACCCACTAAAATCCATTACATAGCTTAACGGATCTGGAGAGGTTTATATAAATGTTTTTGAGTTTTTTTTTAAATGTTTTAAACATGTTTTGTGTAGCTGTGCGAAATAGATTCAGCAGTGCTACATTGGCACCTGGCCAGTGCTGCCAAATGCCCAAGCGACCAAGAGACCCAGTTCAAAAATGTTCAAAGCCATTTGGGGCGCTTTAGTCCAAACACTGTGAAGATCCGTGAAGCTCACCACCACTCCCCCAGTACTTAACGGCGACTTAACGGAGCCAGATAACTTCCATGTGAGGTCATTGCGTGGGGTGATCACAGCGTCGGCGGAGACTTGTCACCAGTGCACGCAAAATTGCAGAGCGGAGTACTCAACATTTGGGGCAATGCCGGTGCCTTCGTTGCGGCCAAAGACTGCACTGCTACGTTGCAGTGGGCTTGGCTTCCGGTCTTCAAACATGTTTAGCAATAGAGATTGCACCCACCCTCAAACGAATGCTATACCCTCTTCAAAGTGGAGTCGTTGAGTTTCAAAAAAACGTGTTCCCCAGAAGAAATACGATCCTACATTTAAGTAAGGATTTTAATTGGCGACAATTGAAATATAATTAAAATTATGACTAATTATAATTAACTATATATAATTACCATTTTTTGCCGATGAAGTTGTGATGCTTGTAGTAATTACTTGTATATACCTGTAGTACTTGTAATACTTGTAGTGAATGGGGTTCAGCATGTTGATTGCGTTACCTTTTCCACCTCAAGTTGTTTAATTCAAGGTGTAATAAGAGAAAGAAATTGAAAGAGAAAGGATCAGCTCTGGAAAAGTTTGCTGCAAATGTGAACCCTGGGAACAAACCAAGTAAAGTGAATTGGGTCCTTTCATGGCCCAGTGCCTTGGAAATTTGTGGAAAAGCTGTTCTTGAAAAATTATATAAGGGATTATAAGGGTTTAATAATCGATCTGATTCTTTTGGGACAGGCAGACAAGCAATATTTTTTTCCGGAAAAATGTTTGTTTTTCACACAAACTATTTTTTTGACGAAAAAAATGGTCTGCCAAAAAGTGAGACTTCCAAACATTACACGGTTCAGATTTTTCCCCAACAGCAGAAACTGTGCTATGGGGTCTTTAGCTGAGGTGCGATCCGGTGCAGCTTCAACACCAGGTTCCGGACAAGGTTCCGGAGGGTTCTGGTGCAGATATCTCGTGAGGTTCCGGATGCAGATACCTTGTGAGGTTCCGGAAGTTTCCGGTGCAGGTACTCGGTGAGGTTCCGGAGGGTTACGGTGCAGATACTTGGTTAGGTTCTAGAGGGTTTTGGTGCAGGTACCTGGTGAGGTTCCGGAAGTTTCTGGCGCAGCTACCTGATGAGGTTCCGGAGGGTCTAGGTGAAGATGCGTGGTGAGGTTCCGGAGGGTTCCGGGGCAGATACCTTGCGAGGTTCCAGAAGGTTCCGGTGCAGAGACCTTGTGAGGTTCTGGAGGGTTTTGGCGGAGAAGATGCTTGGTGAGGTTCCGGAGGGTTCCGGTGCAGATTCCTTGTGAGGTTCCGGAGGGTTCTGGTGCAGATGCTTTGTGAAATTCCAAAGGGTTCCGATGTTTTTTATGGCATAAGCAGCTCATAAGCACTTATTTTTTTTATATTTTCTTATGGCATAAGCGCTTAATTAATTTTTATGACATAAACACTTTTGATGGCAAAAACGCAGAAGCTTTCTAGCTGTTGGGCATAGCACCTGAGTTTATTTTACTAATCAGGGTCCAACACTATGGTGATGCCGAGTTGCAGTGAAAAAAACACAATACGCCAGATTGCAAGTAACTATTCTGCTTTCATGTTCTTTCTCTTCAGGATAAGATGCTAAAAGCATCTGAAAGCTACGCAGCTAAGTACAATATTGGTTCAATGGAAAATGATGGAAAGTAACAGACAAAGCTTTTGTAAGGTCAGTTTGGTGCCGCAGTCTTTATATTCAATCGATTCACATCGCACCTCTTGCTGGCAGGAGGATGGTTCAGTAGTCACTTGGGGTGATCCTGGAGCTGGCGGTGTGCCTGAGGCGCAGCAAGAATTCGCACTCAGAATGACTCAGCATGCGTGCAGGGCAAATGAGTAGTACATATTGCTGTGACTGTGGGCGATGTCCTTGCTAATCTACCAGGTATGTATAAGTATAGCATGTATAGCATAAGGCCTAGGGATATTGCAAGATTTCAGTGCACGCTTAGCTAATGAATGACGTTTGCCCTGTGGGTGTTCAATGGTGAGGCCCACATCAGAGATCTCGTGAGCGTCTTCTGCAACATTCGAGCTTTTGCAGCTATCACCAGAGGAGCCAGCAGTGTTGTGTTGAACCCCATTGGTGGGGTCTTGTGTTAGCACACAGCACATGACACACTCCACACTGAACAGTTCTCAGAAGATTGATTCGCTCATCAAATCCGCACTTTCCAGAGCACGAGACTTTCATCATGCGCAGTAGCTGGTGCTTACGTCCAGATCCCATATTCCTCCTGCATGAGCACACCTGGAGCATAATAGAATGTAGAGCTTGATGGGTTTGGGACATGTTTGGAACACTGTGGAACCGTGTCTTGAAATTGCTAGCCTAGCCATTCCACACTTCTGTTGGTGTGCAGACTGCAGCACAAGTATGCACAAGTAATTTTCAGAGTATACTTCAGAATTTGAAGTATGATACTATTGCTTCCTCAAGACTTCCACTCGTCAAGCAATTTCAGGATTCCAGAGAAGAAAGACTAAGAGCCAGTGGACAACACATGACTCATGACGACCCCATTTTGACATATTTTGACAATCTGTGCGTTTGGCTGACATGGCACCAGCATGGCACCATGTTGGGATTCTTACTCCATGGACTCCATGGATCTCGATGGGTTCATTGGTGAACGGTCAGGCGGCGGAGCGGTTGCCTGGGGTGCGCCTGGATGTGGTGGCGATGCCAGTGCAGTGCAGGATCAGTTGCAGGTCAGTCCCGTGTTCATAGTTTGGTTCTGGCTGGAAGGACTCAAAGAAGTGGAACTTGATGCGCTTGATGTGGATCGTTTGATGTGCGTGTCCAATGTACTGGATTCACTCAAATGTCTTGCAATTCTAAGCAACTCTGGTGTTTCTGGTGCTGTTTCTGCAATTTTGATCTGTATTTGCAAGCAGTCCCTGCATCAAAATAAGACGACAACGGACAAGACATGACAAGACTATGTTCTGTGTTTGCCTTTCACTTTCTTATTGTATTCTGTTTTCTGTTCGTCGTTTGGACCTTTGCTGATTTGCTCAGTTTGGTGTGGTGGATATTCGTGGAAATGGGCGGGCATTCGTTGCAATGAAGGAGACGGGCGGTATGACTCTGAATGTTTCTTGTATAATTATTCTTGTCTGGTATTTGGATGTCTTTGGTGTCTTATCTTATGCGAACTGTAGTTTCATTGCACGGCAGAGACATGACTGGAAGAGGTGTTCTGCAAAGAGGAGTGTTTGGTATGGTACTCGTACCAGCCACGCCACACTCAGTAGAAACGTGGAGAGTGCCTGTAAGACCATGTAGTGAACGTAGTGCAAACATGTGCAAACAAACTACAACAATCTCAGGTGCCCAATGGTGCCCACACTTTTCGACTGCATTTTCGATGCGCTACGCAGGATGATGGCTCTGTAGTTTGTTGGGGGAATCCCGACTTTGGCGGCGATGCCTCTGCCACTGCCCACATGCTGCAGCACAGTGTGGTGGAAGCTGGGCCAGCTGAGATGTGTTGATTTGCTACGTCCACTGGTAGTGGCATGCTTATCGCATATGAGACTTTGTGCTATAGTGGTACTGTACTTATTTGCATACGGTTTTGGCATCCTCAAGTTCATCAGAGCCCTGAGAAGATAATGATAATTACATAATGATACATAATGAATGATGCATAATTTAATGCATCATATTTATTATGTGCCGATTGCTTCTCAGGACATCGTTCCAAGCTTGAAAGCATTTGCGGCCTTGAAAGAAGACCCAATGAGTTCCTTAGAGTGAGAACTGCATCACGCGATCATGGCGATAGAGAAAGAGAGAGAGATGATGATGATGATGATGATGATGATGATGATGATGATGATGATGATGATGATGATGATGATGAGGCTGTGATCATTTGTGTGATCTCTGTCAGATGGCGTTGGTTTACATGGATGTGCTTTACACATCTTTACACATCGAATCAACTTCCATCCGCGTTTGGCGCAAGTCTTACAAGGGCTGGACACACAATGACAACACACTGCGGTCATAGACTGCACCGCCAGACATATTCTGAATTATTCGGAGCACACCTAAGGTTTGGGCTACACAGTGCTGACGTGGGGTGATCCACAGACCGGCGGCGACTCAAGCGCTGTGTCGAAGTCACTTCTTGGGAACGTGCTGTAGCTCGAAGTCCAATTTGGATGTTGAAACCTTCTGACATTTTCTGACGCTGTTTGTCCCTTCTGGCTTAGACCCTTAGGGGCGCAAACGTAAGTCATGGGTATATTTTGATACAGTTGTATTGTACAGCAATGTATCTACATATTAATTATAGATTTACATACCGTCATACTGTATGACGCCTCCTGGACTGCGACCACGGTCAGTTCGTGAATACTTCATGACTCAGAGCTTTGCACCTATAATTGTTGGAAACTAGTTTCTGTGATGGCCTTTTTCGACTTGGAACATTGCCTGAAACCGTCTGAAACCCTGGCTTAAGAAAGATTGGTTCCTATAATAAATTTGGGCTTTTGCGGCGACATGTTGTGACATGCTGCAAAGTGTCGAGTGCCCTCCAATCCTTCTGTGTGTGCTTCAGGCAGGTCGTTGCCAACGACTGGGCGTTTGCTGCGCGAAGAGATGATGGAGAAGTGGTGTGCTGGGGAGACCGTGCCTCCGGCGGTGATGTGACACCAGTGGCACAGAGAATTGCAGATGGAGGCTGTGCCAGCGGGATTGGAAGCGAGCTGCTCATGTCATTGCAGCAACTGATAATAGTGACAGCATGTGACGGCTAAAATAACATAAGATAACCAGAAACTTGATGTAGCTATCAGAATTGACTCTGGTCTCCACAAAGATCACAAAGTAAAGAACACAAAGGTTTGCTGCTTAAACATCTCCAACTGCAGGTGGTGCTGCTGCCCTGTATCACACCACTCGGGCCTTCGCAGCTGTTCTGCAAAACGGCTCGATTTGTGCGTGGGGCGAACTCAGCTGTGGTGGTGACTCCACACCAGCGCCTTGGCTGTTCTTCTCTCCTAGGACCATCCGAAGACCACCTTGCTACGCTTGCTAGGTTCAGATAGACTAGAGGCATCTAGAGGCACTACTGTAACATGCGTGCATGGCATTGAGAGGAGGCACCTACAGTATCACTTGGGCATGACCTGGCGAATAAAGCTGTTGCGAACCAAATGCACCATTGATCATGGACGCATGTATAGAATACAATAGAAAACTCTCTCTCTCTCTATAATTCTATATATAATTATATATATATATAGTGTGTGTGTGTGCGTGTGTGTGTGCGTGTTTTTGATGTTTTCGTGGTGTCACCGGAAAAGTAAGCGCATTAAGATGACACCTGATACTGGCAACCTTGCATTGGACACATCGTTTTTTTCGGCACAACATTGGGATGGCCGGCTCCTGAAAATCCAAGGCAGAGCATGAGCTGGGTGGCGAAAAGGCCGGCAGTGAGATTTTTTGTATCCTTGAATATCCTTGATTAGCCCGAGAGATCTAGTACAAACCCTAGTACAAACCCTTGAATGGATATAGATGCATCGAACCAGCAAGATTGTACCTTTGAACCCCACATTGTTCCTACCATCTTATTTATACTACAAGTGGCGATTGAGTCAGTCCCTGTCACCAGCCTCTGCATTGCACGCGGGCGTTTTGCCAGCCATTGCTATTGCTGCTGTTTTGTTCCAATTTTCCAGCTGTTTTCAGGTCATTGACATGTGCGCAAATGATTATGCATTTGCGGCACGAAGTGCTTCTGGTGCCGTGGTGGCTTGGGGTCAGAGTCTGAGAGTCCCTTCCGGATGTTGCCAGTAGTTTTTTCTCCTAGGAGTGGTGTTCTCAACCCCTATCAGGTCATTGCATTGGACATACGTTGGTTCAGCTTTCCCAAGCGGTGGACAGGTCACAAGCAATACGGCGGAAGCATTGACGAGGTTGGGCATTGGGGACTGTGCAATATGCTCAAGTGGTGATGGGGACAGTTGGAATTTTGCTGATTGATATATTGATGAATGTTGATGAATGTTGATGACAATCTATGAAAAAAAGTGAATGAGCCGAACTTGGCTTTCTGTGCTAGGCTATTGAGGATTTATCCCCAAGAAGCATCAGACACATTATTCAAACACCAATCCCATCATATTTCGCCTTTTTGATTGGCCTTGAAGCAATCGGTGTTGACGGCAAGCCGGAATCCACAAAGATGCAGCGGCAGGAGACAGCGCCAAAGCTGGCGAGTGATGTTACAAAGATCATAGGTGCAATATGGTGCAATGTGTCAAATTTGTGCCACGGATGGAGAAAGACCATAACTCATGGCATCAAAGAGACCCAAATAGTATATGCATATGTATATTATACTGCTTCTAGATTCTAGATGATTCTAGGTCATGTCTTGAAGCTGCAAGGGTTGAATGGGTCAGATGATTCAAGTAAGCTCCGGGAGACTTTCAAATGTCATGAATAAACAATTAGGATCAATTATAAATATATATATATATAGAATGAGGCAGGAAAAGTGGCTACAGATTTGTAAAGAGGTTGAAATTTGTTCAAAAACATTCAGCTTTCCACAAAAGAACCAGCAAATTCTCTTGGGCCATGGGTTTGTTGGACAACACCTTGAATATAAGCCAGATAGGGAGCATCCAGAATTTGGCCTGAGGGAATAGGACATTTTTGATGCCCCAGTTGCTTTGAAGGATCCTGCGTTCGACTTGGTATGGCAAGCACCCTCAGTGAATGGGCGGATTATGGATAACTTATAATAAAATCATACATGTGTAGAGCCCTACGTCATCTTGTCTTCAATGCGGCTCAGTGCAGCAGAGTCCAGCCAGGCAACAAGTTCTCATTTCTGGCAATGAAGCGATCTGGGACCTACGTCACCTGAGCTGCCAGTGTGGAGTGCGCAAGACAAAGCTTCTGCGCCTTGCGGCACCTCATGTCAACCTGACAGAAAATATTGTCAGTCCATTGAAGGAAGATGGAAGACATGACAAGACTTGCCAAGATTTGACTAACAATGCCTAACTATCCAGCTTAAGCTGTTTGCTGTGAAAAGAAGCCACTTCCACAACCGATGGTCCTACGGAAACTCGCAGGGCTGAGTGCGAGCAAAGTTCCCCACTCCTCTTGATCAGTGCAAAAAGCGCTGTCACTTGTAGAAAGGAAGGTGCTGAATGTTAGCAGAAACTCCGAGCTTTGCCATTTGCAAGATGGTCCACGTAGTGGCATGATGTACTTGTCCACCAGAACTTCCCAAATAATTTTCAGGAGTTGATGAGAGGTTTCCTTGCAGTTTTGCAATTTTGTTGGCATGCATATGCCATACGGCGTATATTATCATCATCATGTTGCTAGTAAATTGCCGGCGCCGTATATATTGTATACATATGTTCTCACCATTGGCGGCTTCAGCAATGACTTTGTGCTTCGACATTGTTCCTAATAGTCCTAATGCTGCGGGGTTGGAGTCTTGTGGTCGTTGCACGGTGTCAATTCGACATTGCCAATCTTCATGCGCAGTGCTGACACGCAGAACGTCTATCCCCTCCAGCGATTGCTAGGCGCGTCGAGCAGGCAGCCAGAAGCAGACCAGTAGGGCACCCAGCATCTTCATGGATGGCTTTCCTGTTTGTTGTTCTTTGGCAATATCATGCAATATCAATATACCAATCATATTCGATGTATTTGACTTCAAATCTGAGACATATGAGAATAATATTCCATGTGTCAAAATCTGTAGGTTTGCTTGGTATGGTTCCATAGGTTAGGCGTCGCTGGCTGCCAGTTGATGACACAATTGCAGAGGAGAGCATGTTCCTGGAGGCTGCAGGCATTTCCGCATAATTGCCCATAATAATATTAATTAATAATTGTAGGGCATTATACAATGGTTGAGGCAAATTTAGCAGCGTGTCACTGAGGCCGGCTACTGTGGACGAAACTTTTGGCTCGATCTTAAGCCGATGGCGCCAGCAGCTGCTTGACTAGATCGTGTTGCGTCAGTTTGGGCAATCCTGGTTGTGGCTCATACATTGATTAAATGTTCAGATGTATCAGAATGCTCTGGACAGTACTGGATTGGAGATGGCATGCATATCTGTGTGTCAAACAGGCCAAATTGATACTGGTAAGGGGGTCGCGCACGCATCCACAGGCTGTATTTCAAAGTACACTGCTGATTTACCAGTGTGTCTCACCTTAAGGATAAATCGATATATCTATATATTTATATGTATACATGCATAATCACGCAGTATATATTAAAAAATATAATATATATATAATATATATATACATATATAACATTATATATTTACCTCTATCATCCGGTGGTGCTTTTTTTCAGCCTCTAATGCTAGAGGCTAAAATTCCAACCTCTAATCTCAAGAATAGCCGCTGATTTACACAATTGCCTCTGTTCACCCTGTGGTATGTGATCAAGTTGTATGTTATTAACTATAGAATGAGTACTGTATATATATATATACTGTACATGCATGTATCAATGAAAGGATCCAAAGCCATCCAGACCATCCTGGCTGACCTCCCCGCCGGGCCTTCCATGTTGATCAATACAAGCTGGTGATCCGTGATGATCAATTGTTTCATCAGATGAATGAATGGATTAGTCCAATCATTTTTGAGATTAAAGCGCACATGCCAAGTTCAGAATTGAAGGTCATGAGGTGAAACCACATCAGTGACCAGCATGAGTGTTTGAATGATTGTTCAACATATTCTTGAACATCAACTGCATCCATCATTCTCCAGCCCATGGTACTTCGCATGGTTTTGGTGAGAGCCAGGGCCTCAAAGACGCAAACCTTTCTTTTTAGACAGCTGCGTTCGGGCTGAAATCACACCATTCTAAAGCTGTGATCCTGGTATTGACACATCACTAAGGTTTTCTTTCTGAAAGAAATATCACTGAAACATCTTTTCAATTTCACAGTTCAGGATCGTAGCCTTTGTTTTTTGATTTTTTTTTATGACGCTCTTGGTCTTTATTTTGTACACCAAGAGTGTGTTCTCAACCACATGCTTATATGACACTCTCCGGCTTTGCCTGGCCACATGTCCAATGAAGTCTTCAGACATGCTGCAATCCCACAAGCCAGGGTTCACACACACATCGCAACCGGCTTCCCTAGACAGCACCAAGCTATGTCCTATATGATCAAAAGCATGTGCCTTTGGCACCATTGCAAAGAGTGTGTGGCCCTGTACATAAGAAAGATGAGCAAGCTCAGCGTAGGCACCACAAAATTTCTTGCACGACATCACTATTTGATCACGGCAATGAGGGCGACAAAACACACCATGCCGATAAATGCATTGAAATCTCAAACCATGGCAGCAAGCTTTTGAAATCTTTTGTAAAGCTTCAGACTCCGGATTGGAGATCAACTGCGATTTCACAAACCAATCAAGCCACTTCATGATGACGATAGTATCACTTCCCTTGCACCCCACCCAAGGGTGACTAGTAGCATTTGGGTAGTGCAGTTTGTCACGGGAGAACGAACGTATTGCAGAACATCTTTCCCCCTGAGTGATACACCACAAGGAAAAATTGGCCCAAGCCCGTTCCAGTCGTTTTTCGATTGAGCGACTTTCCTCACCATAGTCGAAGAATCCATCACCAGCCAAAAGTACAATGCTAGATCCAAGCATGTTCCTTGCCACCCCCAGGCGAAAAATGTGGAAAGGATCCCGTTTAAAGAACGATGCAGCCCTTCCTGACATCCAGCTACCATCATACAAAATATGATGAAAAGGAGGGGGTGCAGCCCATGGAACATCAACATACATAGATGTTTTCCAGCGTGCTCCAGTGGTAAAATCTTCAAAAGGAAATTGCGGATCACCTGCGTGACATTCGTGGCAAACCTTGATCATATTTCTGTGTCCAATGTTGTGATAGGATCTCGTAAGCACACCAATCTTGCAATGGTATTCCATGTCACCCAGCATGCCCAAAACAGCAAACTTGTATTCAACACCGTCCAATGAAAGACCATCCTTGCACACAGCTGCAAGGTCTTGCGCGATGACATCCAGCATTTCACGAAGAAGGTTCGGCAGCTTCTTGTACTTCTTGCTCGGAAAAGCACACAGTAGAAAATGGGTCAAATAAGAATTGTGTTTCGAATTCAATCTGATACAGCAAGGGTCATCCAGGTTGGTTCCAGAAAACCATGTTGGACAGTCACAGCTGCATTTGAAAGCTTTTTCTTTTGTATCTAGGCCCAAGATTGGATGGATGCTCACAATCTCCAGTGGTTGTTTTTTCGCCGTGCGACCCCCATCACCATGCAATGTGATAGGGATCACAAATTTGAGATTTTCACCCTGCGTGTAGATTGCATGGGTTGGATGATCCTTTTTGTAAGCCGTCCAAAAAGTGTTCAACAATTGTTGGGCCTCAGCTCCTGGAGATAAACCCCCCAGCAAAATCCACGGCTCAGTTCGAAGAAGATACTGTAAGACTGAACTCGGCTTGAGGTAAGGCATGTTGACAACAAAGCCTTCCCCTTCAACCAAGTGGTAGGATGTTGGGATTCTCCTCGGAAGAAGTGCACTCTCACGGATCAAATGTGGATGATAGATCGATCTACATCGATAATCTTTTTGTACATGCAGTTCTATATCAAAGGATCTTTCAACATGCATATATTTTTTGCATGTACAAATGATGAATCTTTAAAGATCATATGTTTCATACATGCATCATGCTGAACATATACTAGCCATGTGGTTGTGTGTGATTGCAGTGTTCACCTGAAGGGACGATCCAAGTGATGAATCAATCTCACATTAAAACAGGATTTAACAACTGAATCAATTGTCTTATTTCAGATGAGGATCATAGCCATGCCGAATCTAGCCACAGCCCTTTTGAATTGCCGGGAGGAATTGGTCTCATGACCATGCAAGACACTCTGAGTGGAATCATGAAGCACCCGTCCAACATCGCAGGTGCCCAACTCCGCTCGCAAAGCTTGGCCTTGATCCACCAAAGCTTTCGCAGGAGCCTCATGGACGGGCCGTGGTCAAGAGGTACATGGGTCCACCATTCACTTCAATCTTTGAAACAGTCAGGTTGAAAAGATGAACTTGACACAGTTTTTGATCAAGTGGACTTTCTTCATGATCAGTAAGGAAGGTATATATATATTATGTATACAGATTAATTTAATATATGTATTACTTTTTGATGTTTTTACCGTATATATATATAAATACCAGCACTGATATTCATCCACCATTGGCCATTGAAAGCCAAGAGTCACCATTGGCAATCATGTCAACGACATGAGTCAGCAAAGGTCCAGGTTCTGCAGGTTCTGCACCTGGCTTTTGATAGTTGAGATCTACAATTTAGGGATGTAAGGAAATGAAAAGAAGGGTTCCTGGTCATGGGTTGGTGGTGACTGATGCATCCAGTGTTACGAGATTTACTGACCCAACGCCACCACTCACAACAACAGCCATGCAAGGATGTTTTCTCTTCAAGCCAGAGCTCCAATGCAGCTCAGCTGGCGCAGGCCGGGATTTGATGGTCATCACCACCGGAGACTTGAATTTTCACAGTTCAGCATCGAAGATCTGAAAAGACCGGATGTTCATCACCCAGTTGGCAACAATTTTACATTGCCTTCCCCATACCAAGGAGCACGCATGACAGGTTCAAACTACATTATAATAGATTCAAGATGGCTGGGAAGTTGTGATCCAATGTTTTTTCAAAACCAGAAAAATGGTGTGCCATGAGAGCAGCTGTCATGCAAGGCTCTAGCTTCAGCATTTCCCCGAAAAAGGTCATTAGAGCGACCACAGGATTCTATCTATTTGGCTTTCCTAGACCTCACCTCAGCCTTCACC